GGCCTCCCGGCGCGACTGGTCCGGATGGCGGGCGATGCTCGAGTCGCGGCCTCCCGGCGCGACTGGTCCGGATGGCGGGCGATGCTCGAGTCGCGGCCTCCCGGCGCGACTGGTCCGGATGGCGGGCGATGCTCGAGTCGTGGCCTCCTTCTCTCTAACGGGGTCTTGCGCCTCGTTTCGTCGGCAGCGTGCGGTCTCGTGTGACGACCGTCGTCTTCGCGTACCGACCTTGGTTGCTTGTGTGACCGTGTGCGTGGTTACCTGGTGGCGGGTGTCTCGCATCCGGCTCGAAGGACCAATGTATCTGGTAGGCCTTGTGGCCTCCACGCAGGTAATCTCTGGTCTCGTCTCAGAGATCGGGCGTGGTCGAGTAAGGCGATTGACTTACTCGTGTTTCAATTTAAGAAGCTTTATTGAGATATCGTGGCGATAACACAAAAGATACGCTCGATCCGCTCGCACGCAGGAACACACGCACACACACTCAGAGACACTCTTGTACTCGTTTGTAACGACTTGTAACGACTTGGTCGACTGGTAACGACTGACTGCAGTACGCTGCCGTCGCGGTGGAGGGGCAACGGACTCATTCGCCAATGGCTTGCCACGCGGTGCGCGAGGGAACCGATACGATTGGCGGGGACGCTTTCTCTGATAGCGCTCGGGAGATCCCGGGAAGAATCGCGCGCGGGAAATATAAATGACGCGGGAAGCAAAGTTACGATACACACGCGTCAGCTGACGCATAAGCACAAGGTGCGTGTCCTACCATTCTCCCACCGTTGAATGGAGGTTCAATGGATGTTATAAAGATAATAAATAAATAATAAAGATAATATATCTTTTTCGGCAGTTGTATGAATATATTCACTATCGCGGAATTGTAAAAATAATTGTGACGTATATTTTTTCTATTTTAGTATATTTTATTTTTTACCGTAATAATCATATTTTTAGCCATATCTATTTTCTTATCACAGATATCAGGATTTCAAATCAGGTTGATATATATTATATTTTATTCATTCTATAAATGTATCCGTACATAGCTATTATTAATGCGTTTTATTAATACCATAAATGTTGATAATTACTGCAAGAAAAAACAGCAAACCTAGAGAATAATGCAAATGTACATACACTACATATACATCTCCATAATTTGTACATGTATAAATTATGGAATATTCACGTGTTCCTTTCCGTGCTCTGCGTGCTTTCTATGGTCTTTTTGACCTCGGAGATAACGTTTTGGAGTATCTTCTTATTCTTTGTTATCCTTGGACGTCCTCCAATATCTTTGCCCAGTAAAAGCTCTATACCCTTACTGCCTTTTTTATAGGCACGTTGCAAAAGATCAAGAGTGATCCCTGCTTCTGCCATCTTACCAATCATGCCGACTGAGACGGATCCCTGCATGCAATCCATTGTGAACTTGTTTTTATTTTTCAAAGTGGACCTTTCAATTATCTGCACCATAGCAGTCACAGACTTTGAGCGATCCATTAATTCTTGACGTGTGACTTCCGCTTTGTCGACGATTCGCTGAAGGATTCTGACATCGTTCAACGCATTGTGAGCGTCGGCTGCAACATTCTCGCCAAGCAAATCACTTGCAAGTTCGACTTGCGTGAATTTTAACTTAGCCGCAGTTCGGGAAGGCAATTTCGCTTTCAAGACAAGAAGAGTATCGGTAAATCCATAAACGACTGATGTGAACTCCTCCAATAGATTATAAGCGCGTATATCTCTAATTAAAAATCGTGCGTCAAACGTGAATCCATTGTGAGCAACCAACGTGATGGCTTTGCCTATATTCCTTAGAAATTGCAAAAAGTTCTGCAGGGCAGTATGAAATGGAGTCGTTTCGACCTTCTCTCCGTGGAGAAACATTTCACCTGCGCAGACTGACAAGCCAGTTACGTCTGCAGCATTTTTTGAAATGGATCGCAGAGGCACCATGTAGGCGCTGAACTCCTGATCTTCGTATCTGGCTGCAATTTGGCAAATTTCCGAATATTTGACGGAAAGACCAGTCGTTTCAAGGTCAAAATAAACTAAAGGACTGTCTTTAGGTGCAGTTGGGTTTACTACAGGTCTATCAATGAGTTCCATTATTCCGTCAAGTCCACATTCAGTCGAATATGTGATTCCTTCTTTTCTCTCGGCCCTATTCTTTTTATTGGACCGCTGCTTCTGCATGAACAGACGTCTTCTCTTGGTTTCGGGCTTGCTGGCTCGTTCTCGTCGCTTGGCTCGCTGGTAGTCTTTCTTTTCCCGAAATTCTTCCGTTAATTTTCCGGGAGACAGTCCTAGCTTCTTATTTAAATCGACGATATATTTGGTACCAAAGTTCTTTTCACAAACGGTGGCAGCAACTCGAAAATCGAACGATTCGGAACCTGCATAGTGGTGGGCTTTACAACTTTTCGCCGACACGCTTGAATTGAATGCCTCGTTCTGTTGACTAGAGCCACATGGGGCGAGCTTGTCCGCGTTTTTCCAAAACACGTCAAAAATAGCTGTAAGTGTTTGTCTCATCGTCTGTCCGATAAGTCCTTTACCTCCTGGTAGTCCGTTGTGCGTGTAATTCTCCGGGTCTTCGGCATATCTACACCATTCGCCACACTTTGCGTGTTCATCAAACGCATGAGGGATAATATTTTTTATCGCATTTTCTGTCGCCTCTACGTTACCTTTATTCTTCTTTAGAGCACAGCCAAAGCAGTATTTCAGATACTCTATGACGTCCCTTGGTATTTTTGTGCCCACAATGCTTTGCTGAGTTTCTTCGTAGCGTGATTTAGATCAGACCACTTGGCTACCGGATGACTGCATTCACGACGAACAGCAGCGATTGTGGAGCTATCGTCATCACCAATGAGTGCCTAATTTTACGTTGTGCTCCTCAAAGTCTTTATTTTTCGCAATAATTTCTACGGCGATATCTGGCTCCATCGCCTTCGCACTCCCGGTCCAGTTGAGCCGGCAATCGTGATCGTCTGGGCTATGCCCCGCTTGGCACAGTCGACAGTGCTTCACTCGAGTTCCATATCCGATTACCATCCCTGATTTGGCGCCGATAAGAGATCCAACAGCTGTTATAATAAAGCGAGGAATAGTAAATTCAACTAACGTTCAATTCAGTCGGATCGGAAATAGGACACATGTTGGGTTGAGATTGTAACAAATAGACGCTTTAGTAATGAGCATTTATTTTTAATTATACACATCAAATGTTGAAACGCATGTACACGGAGAGAATTTTCTCTTAGAATTTACCCTGAAAATCATGGTAGTCGTGGGACAAAATGGACTTCGAAAAATTTTACTATACTTTTAGTAAACTTTAGTAAAATTTTAGTAAAATTTGATTGAATATCAGTAAATTTTAATAAAATTATAGTAATATTTTAAAAATCAAATTTTACTAAAATCTTACTAAATTTTACTAAAAGTATAGTAAAATTCTTCGAAGTCCATTTTGTCCCACGAGTACCATGATTTTCAGGGTAAATTCTAAGAGAAATTCTCTCCGTGTACAGTGCGTATAAACGCACTTTGACCTCAGGTATTCGAAATACCTGCTAAACTATCGTACGTATGACCATTTCCTCGTTTTGGCCAAGCAGCATCGTAGGAAGCTGCGATTAATACCGGATCCTCACTTTGTACTGTCCTCGACCTGTAATTAATATTCCCTTCATACTAACTGCATACAGTGTATCGATGGATGCGAGGCACACAATATTATTACTCACGTATCCATAGCACGAGAAAGCTCCTTTTCTACTTTTATCGCTTCGACACAACTCTCCTTCGCAGCTGACTCAATTGCTACTCCGACGGAACGTTCGTACCGTTTCAGCAACGTAGCATGGATCGTTGGAATGTTCATCGCTGAAAGCACAGTGTTCAACTGCGTAATCCCAATGCCTCCATCAATAACTCCTACGAATGTGTGGATTATTAACAAGGGAATTGGAAAGAATTTGAGGTCATTTACTTACCTAAGGCAGCTTTGTAGTTAATTTCAAATGAACGTTTGCGATTATTGCCAACGTCTCTTTCCCGATTTGAGGTATCAACCCTTTTGATCATACGGCAATTCTGACACCGTACATGAAAAATGCTTGCCAAGCCTAATATGGTTTCATTTTCAATATATCGAAACGAAAGTGGTGCATTACACGACCGACACCACATATCCTCTGTGAGTTTCGCGATGTTAACGATTCGCTGACCGTCGATTTTTCGCTTGTCGTGTTCTTCGCAAATTAATTTTCTCCGCTTGTTTGCAGCGACGATGTTATCTTTCCACTGAATTTTTCGCTTCGTTTCAAAACGACCTTTGCGTCGAGGTTGTTCGTTCATGTTAACTACTTTATTTTATTTACCGTAGTTTACACGCAAGTTTGGTTATAACGATGCACCACGATACCGGTTGTCATTCTGTCATTCAAATTGCGACGTTGCCAAATGTATGGTTCCAACTCTAGTCAAATTTGTGACTTCGCTCTGATATTTTCAGTTTATACCGACGGTTCAATAAGAAAAAACCTTACGGAATAATTAATTTAAATGTATGCTGATTTTTACATACTAAATCATTCATATTTGTTATTAGTAATAATAGTTGCTTTTGTGACTTCAAAGTCCTGCAAGAACCACCTTAATGTGTGCAAAATCTTCACTTAATACATTCTTATACGTATCCAACAGTTCATCTAGCTTTTTATTGCTACATGTGTCTAACATTTTAACCTCTTCCGCTTCTATTAAGCTATTTTTAACTTTAGATAATATTTCCAATTGATTAATCCATTTCCTGCCCAGCAACGGATCTCGGTCATATTTTACCACATACATATTCAACGTTTTAGTTAGATCTACATCTTTTACTTTTACTGTAATGAAACCTCTCGGCACGAATTTTTGTTTGCAATATGAACGCAATTTTAAATTCGTTTGATACAACGGTAACTTCGGAAACGTATTTTTCACCCATTTCTCGCTTACCAAGTTTACCGCTGAGCCGCAATCTACATCAACTACAACTTCTCGGTTTTCGATTTGGAGGGGTACCGTGAATTTCGCTCTGTACTCGAGATGTTCTCGGTCCTTCACGCTGCAGACTTCCTCGAGCATATGAGCCTGGCCTTTCTTTTTGCAGACCTTCTGTAAATGTCCGAAACCTCTGCATTCTCTGCATTTTATCGTCCGAGGAAAGGTACAATTGGTTGCAAAGTGAGCCAGTCCGCACCTAAAGCAAATAACCTCATTATTTCTATCACGCTTATTACAATAGTTGCTTGTGTTATTATGTTTAAACTTGGAACGGTTGCTTTGTTGTGGCTCCCTTTTTGCTCCATGTTGACTTCCTTTGGCTCCGTTTCGTTCTTCTTGTCCCTTTGTCCTCTTCTGTTTTGTTTTCGCTCCTATGAGATCAACGGCTGCTTCCGTTGGACTTTCCTCCTTCAATTTGTTGACTCCTTTCTCCGCCAATTCCATGCCGCACGCAATTTTCAGCGCGGACTCCTTGGTAAGTTTACCTTTACCGTCTCTAACAGCCTGTTGTGCCTCTTGTGCAGAGACTTTTCCGACGCCCGGGGAGTTCCTTTCCTGGTACGAGTCTTTGTCTGGGATGTCGCCTTGCGAGGGATCTGGGGAATCCGGCGACTCCACGAAGGAGGAGTAGACGCTTCTTTATTTCGGTTAGTATGTATGTGTCTGGCGACTTTCTCACGCTGCTTCATTTTACTATCTATGCTATATGATCCATGCTTCTGGTTACCTCTATGTGTCCCCGCATTGGCTGCTATTTCTCGTCGTCTCTTCCTTAGTTCTTTTCGGGCCTTCGGTATGTTCCTTCGAGTTCCGATCTCCTTAGAAGATCTTGTGGTGGAGCCCGTGGAACAGCCTGACGATCCTGTTCTGTCGGAGGATGGTTCCGATTTGGATTTGTTGGACGATCGTCCCTCGGACGATTGGTCCGTAATTTTGTCTAACGTTATTTCTATTTCTTCCGGGGACTTGGATGTTTTTCCTGTTTATAATACGGAGGAGGAGAGTTTTGTTAGTAAGGATCAGGAATTTGTTTCTGAGGAGGAGGATCTCGTCCTTGAGGATGAAGTGGAGGTGTGTATGTTTCGGGACGAGTCGGGTTAGGTAAGTATGTTTTAGTTCTCGATGAACAGTTTGAGTCTGTTTGCGTGTACGCGGATAGTTCTTCGTCCCATTTTAACTGAATAGTTTACGTCGTTATGCTTTTCCATGACTGTATAGGGTCCGATCCATTCAGGTTCTAGCTTTTTAGATCTTCCTCTTCGTAGGGTTTCGTCTAATAACAGCACTTTATCGCCTACTTTGAAGCTCGTTTCCTTCGCTTTTTTATCGTAATATTTTTTGCTCTTTTCTTTTTCTTCTTTTGAATTAGCTTTTGCTATTTGATTTGCTGCGCGTATTCTTTCCTTTAATTCTTGCGCGTAGTCATCGTATGTGTATGTAAACTTTGGTGGTTGGTTAAGAGCTGAGGGTAGGATTGCTTGGTGACCGTATATTAATTCAAAAGGTGTGAGCCCTGTCACCGTATGAGGGGTAGTGTTATATGTGAACATGACGTATGGGAGCCATTCATCCCAATCTGTCTGGTCCGTACTTATATAATGCCGTAGGTATTCGGCTAGTGTTCTGTGCGATCGTTCGAGAGCTCCGTTGCTCTCTGGGTGATACGCTGTTGTCTGTATCTTGTGGATTTTTAGTAATTTGCACGTATTCTTAAAGATTTCGCTCGTGAAATTAGTGCCTTGATCTGTTAATACTTTTTCCGGTATTCCGTGTTCGAGGATTATTTTCGTTACGAATGCTTTCGCTACCGTGTTTGCCTCTTGGTTCTCGAGCGGTATTGCCTTGCTGAATTTGGTTAGATTATCTTGAAAGGTTAAGGCGTACTTATTTCCCGTGGCTGTTATTGTGAGGGGTCCTACTATATCCAGGGCGCACTTTTCAAAGGGCCTAGTAGGGGTGTCCGTGATGACTAGTGGCATTTTAGTTTTATGTCTTAATTTATTCTTCTGGCAGAATTCGCATTTCGCAACATAACTCTCGACGTCTTTATTTAGGCCGTGCCAGTGGTGTCGTAACTTGATGCGGTGTAGTGTTCGCGCAACTCCCTGGTGACCGCCTAACGGAGCGTCGTGATACTCGTACAGTGTCTGCTCCTTTTGTTCCGCAGTGTATTCTCGCTGTTCTCTTTCTCCTTCTACGTGGTGAATCAGTTTTTTATTTTCCGCGGGATAGCGGCTCAATGCGTCGACGTTTACATTGCTTTGTCCTGATTTGTGGATGATTTCATAGTCGTATTCTTCTAGCTTGAGTCTCCATCTGATTAGTCTGTATCCTGGGCACGGTCGTACATACAGGTCTTGCAACTTCGGTGGTGGGGAGCTTTG